AGGGAGGCTCACCAATATATTTTGATAATGTTGTGCGTATTTACTAACTCTTAATCTATATTCCCTTGTCAAAAAATAGTAATAATAATGCTGTGCGTATTAAGTTTACTTCTAAATTACCAAACTATCCTTTTGTACTCTTATAAATATAAAGCAACTTTTTTAGGAAAAACAGAGGTGAGAGTTAGACGCCAATCATCATAAGAGAAAATACGGTGGATCTTTTAGGATCAAAGGGGTTTTTCAAATAGAGTGCACTTGGGTGTATTGGGGATTCAGGAATCTACTGAAGTTTGGTTTGAGTGATTTAAACTATTCAAATCTCTCATAAAGTATTAATTTTATGATAGATTTGATGTTTTCCTTCTCCTGTGGATGTAACTATCACATATTGTGATAGTGAACTGTTTGCTTTATTTTTTGCACTCGGATTTCTTTTTCATTGTTTTTGCTGTGCATCTTGATTCAGCTCACATCTAATGTGTTGGATTCGGTGTGTTCCGGTATAAAATCCAAAAGGATCTTTCTTCCCTTTCCTCGTCTATCAATTCCTCTGTGCCTGCCTGAATCCTCTCCTTGTTCCTCGTCCCTTCCTACTTTTCCATAATCCTGTCGATTTCTCGAAAAGAGAAATCTTATACACCCATCAGCTATGATTACTGAAAAGAAACCTCATCGTCGCCTCTGTAGAAGACAGAACCACCTTCAGCTACCCATCGGAGTCAGTCTCAGACAGCAGCATCTTCAGGTAGCCATCAGAGTTCGTTAATTTCTGGATTTATTCCTAGTAGTTTTCTTTGGTTAATTTCTTGATTCTTTTTTCTTTTTCTTTTTAATTTTTGCACATGATCCAATGACAGAGAGCCATGAATACTACTCTTCGGCACGTGGAAGTGAGAGTGACAGCTATAAAGATGGAGATGAAACGCGTGAAGAACTCCAACAAGAAAGAAAGAGTGGTGCTGAGAGAGATGGAAGCGATGCTGCCACAGCTTATAGCAAAGAGAATGCAAGCGGAGGAAGAGAGAATGCACGCCCTGGAAGAGTGCGTGCGGACTCAAGCTTGCTGTGATGCCATGGAGGTTGTGTTGTTTGCGCCTTAGTCGATCAGGTCCACCCCTCTCTCCGGTTGAGCATTGATTCCACTGGTATTTTACTATTGGTCCCACTGGGTATACTATTATACAGTTTGCTTGGTTTGATTTTATCTTCATATATTATGAATTAATTCAGGTATGTAAAAATTATGGGTTTCTTATAGTATTTTTTCTTTTTCTTGATTTTTGTGTAAAGAAGGGGTAATTTATTTGGCTTTCTTCTTTTTCTTTTCTTTTTGTTGTTAACGACCCTTCATCAGGAAGGCAGGTTCTTTAAACCCGCACCAGCTTTGTCAAATTCCGGACTAAAAAAACGCAAATTTTGATTTACACGCATCGGCAGATCGAGTTTGACGTTTGAACTAAGGACAAATATCCTTGACCCTGACTATTCTCTGGGAGTTTTTTACCGTGCTCGAGCATCCAAATTAGAAAGTGCAACAAACAGTACTACCAAGATTTGACAAAAATTGACTAAACCCCACTTTTCAAACATGGTAAACATAGCATTTAAAGGGTTGCGTGTATATGTAAAGAGATTTATTTGTATATAAAATTTATATATTATATTTATAAAAAATTTTAATTATTTAATTATTTAATTTTAATAATTAATATTTATTATAATTTTATTTATAAAAATATAATTATTTTTTTAAATATGAATAAATTTTAATTATTAAAATTAAAAAATAATAATTAAAATTTTATATAAATATAATATATAAAATTTATGTATAAATAAAATTTTAATATATATATATCCACCTTTCAAACATGGTATTGATGGAGATATATGTACACACAGAGCAAAGTCCTCCACAGCCAGCCTAATTTAATGCTTATATATAGGTTACGGTAGTATATATGTCTTCCTAAAGTGAGTGTAAGCCTTTCAACTTTATGAGCTCATTGTTTTTATTGGTGAGTATGTATGATCGAGGTAGTCAATTATCGCCAATTTTAAAGGTTTAAACAAACTTAAAAGTTCTAAATAATAAACTAATATAAGAGATGCATCATCTTGGGGGGTTGTGGTTCATTTGTTACAGCATAACTTTGTCAGTTTCCCTCTTTTCATATATTAGGAAAATAATTTTTTCTTTTTGCATATTAAAAATTAATTATTTGAAATTTGTAAGTTAAAATTTAAATGGTTGACTTTAATTGTAAATCAAGATTTATATATCAGTCATCAGTGTGTCAAACTCTTATCATTAATGAATATATAAACTATTAATTATATTATAATTGGATAGACGAATTATGACTTTATGTTTATGGCGACAAATATCATGACAATTATAATGCAGTTGGGTTTGAAATTCAGACGATGAAGTACTCAATCGAAAGTGAAGTAAGTTTGATCCCCTATGATTGCAGTCTAGGCTCTTTTAAGAGTGGATCACTCAAGACTCGTCAGTTTGAACTCGAAAGAAGACGTTTCTGTACCCCTATTCTCAAAATTGTCTGTCTAGAAAAGATAAAAAATGAAGAGGGTGAGATGAGTCTTTTTTTAATGAGAACTTTGGTAATTTTAGGGGATTGGGTGCTGGGAGAATTTCACAAAGCATGGGTGATCAGACCGATCCAAAACCTTTAACCCAATAGAGTTTATAATCATTTTAAAAAATAAAAAATAACTTTAATTTTATTAATTGTTTAATTAATTTATTTTATGTAATATTAATATTAAAAAAGAATTTTTTTATAAATTAATAATAAAAAATAAATATATCTTTAATTTGTGTTTTAAAATTATATAACATTGATAATAAATTATATTATAAAACTGTTTAAATTATTTTTTATATATTAATAATTAATATTTAACAATTAATAATAATTATTATTTATTATTTATAATTTAAAATATTTAAATTATTTAATTAATAATTAATAATTATTTTTAAAAAATTAAAACAAACACCCTTGTGACTAATAACTGTGGTTTTGGTCCATTTTTCTCTGAAAGCCACACTCATGCCGTACGTCCAAACCATGGAATTGGGATGATGTAGTCAAACTTGGCGGGCGGTCAGTCTTTGAGCTAACCTCGTTGAGAGGTGATTTAATAATTGAAATCTTAAAATTTGATTGTTTGCTAATATATTATCCAAATTTCATGTTGTTGTGAGGAAATTTTGGACAACTGGATTCTAGTGAACTGAGTTAAGTTCGATGAAATCTATTTGTTGGGTTCGATGGAATCTATTTGTTGGGTTCGATGGAATCTATTTACTGGGTTACATTGAACCCAGATTTGCTGAGTTCGGTGGAACCTAGGCTGGGTTTCGTCGAATCCAACTCTACTTTTTTTTTTGTTATATGTTTGTTTATCAAGAGATTATCCAAATTGCAAGTTGTTGTGAGTGATTTTTGGGATTTTTTTCTTCATATTTTTTAAGTATTGTCTAAATGATTTGAATCTTGAAAATAGAAAAAACATGTCGATGGAAAGAATAGAAACAGTAATCAATGGACAAAGAAGCAATTCTTAGTGATGATGTGGGATCCATTTGGATGAATTTGACGCGTTTTGGCCACAGTAGCATGACATGGTAAAAGTTTTTGTGCATATCATCACTTTTTTAAATTTTGCTTTCCACATCATCAAAAAATATATAAAAAATACCACATAAGTAGAGTTAACGGCTCAAATTAACAGAAGGATTAACAGAGTGCATTTCGTATAGTTGAGGGATAAAAAAAGTGCAAAAAATTGTTGAGGGACCAAAAATGTGCAACTCACTAAAATTGAGGGACCAAATTTAACATTTAACTTTTGTAGTTTTAAATTTAAATTTTAAAATAAATATAAATTTTTTTAAAAATATTATTTTTTATTATATGAATTACTTTTCTTTTTTTAATGCATGATGCAAATCATTGAATTGAGCAAGATAAAAATTAATACGTTTGCAGTCACTTCGCATAATCAATCTTTTAAATTGGCGAGAAAAAATATCTACCGCAATTAATAAACAAAGACAGCAAAGCTATCAAAAAAAGGTGTTGTTTTAAGATGTAGTGAATTATTTTAGGAACTTCACGACAAATTAAAAAAAGTTTAAAAACTGTCAATAAAACAACCAATCCAAATAAAAACAAAATTTATCTCCAAAAAATTTAACTAAACTCTAACTACTCAAAATCTGAACAAACTAAAAGAACATCATGAACTTTTCCCCTTTTGGAGCCAACGACAGGTTTGGTTGCCTTTGGCACTACCAAGGTGGGGCACCAATTATGCTCAAAATGAAAGGAAAAATGGATTTGGTTACGTGAAAGAAAAATTTAATAGGGGTGTTTGTAGTGTCATTTGGTTCTAATTTTAATATTTTTAAAATTAAATTAATTTAATTAATTAATAAAATTTTTAAATTAAATTAATTTATTATTATATGATAATTAAATTAATCGAACTGAAAAACAAGTTAGCTTGATTAAATTTTTTGAGAGAAGTGAAAGCGTTGAATCTTCAATATAATCAATTATTTTTGTTTGATTATTGGTTACAATACGATATTTAATCACTTTTTTTTCAGTAATTTTTTTAAAGTTTTTTGTACCAAAAACGCATTTTAGATAATGTAATCAATTAGTTTCTATTATATTTATTTTTTGTCTAATTTGTAATTTAAAAATATAAATTAAGAGTGCAATAAATATATTTTTTATAATTAATTT